TATAATATTCAAAAGTTCAATTAATATGTATGATATACCAGTTGAACACATTTTCTATAGCACTTCATTTAGTTGTCAATTTTTCAATGTGATTTTCTACAGTATTCTTTACTTTGCATTTATTTTCTCAATATGTTTACATTGTATGAGTTGAGCGTTTTGCACACAGATTCTTGATTTGTAGCTGCTTGACAGGCTTTTTTGTTGTGCTGTAACCATCATTCTTATAAAATATATGATGTGCATTTGTTTTGTGTCTTTGTCTTCATTCCACATGTCCCATAATATATATTTTTATATAATTTATAAGGAACAGTAATTTAAAAGTTTGTGATCATCTCTTTCACCTTCATTGTTTTCAACAAATAGGTATTCTTTGTTCTTATTTTCTGATAGCCTAAAACAGATTCTCAGTATGATGTAAGGCAGATGAGTTCTTAATAGTCAGTCATAAGTATTTTTTCCTTCATATCACATCTTATGTCATGGAGTGGTTATTTTAACTATCTTTGGAGAAGTTTTTGCTCATTTGATTTTATCTCAATTTACTTTTTTTAGTTGAGGTTTAAATTTTCAGTTTGGGGAAATCTAATTTGCTATAAAATATTACAAATTCTTCAGAAGATAGTACTTTTTAATGACAATAATGACTCTTTATTGAGAGCTAAGCACTTTCAGACACTATTGATTTATTCCTCGTCACAATACCATGAAATAAGTATTGAACACACTTTTACAGGTGAAGAAACTAAAGGGCAGGAAGGTTAATGTACTGGTCCATGGCCGCAGAAGTGGAAGGACTCAAACCTAAATCTATCTCATTCCGCTTTTGAACACTATCTTATATACTGCTTCTCAATTATGACTTTTGATATATCTGTTTCAGTCCAAAACTAGTTCTTTGTGGTTGACTTATGTCCTTTAGCATTAACCTTTCACACTTCCATTTCTGCAAGCATGTCATAGTGAAGCAAAAAAAAATTAATGCGATTGAACATTAAAATGTATCTTTTCTTTTAGCCAGAAACGTTTGAGCATCTTTTTATCAAGCATACAGAGTCAGTGACATTTGGTCCTCTTCTTTTGGAGCCTGAAACCATTTCCGAAGATATCAGTGTTGATACATCATGGAAAAATAAAGATGAGAATGCGTCAACAGCTATGGTCTCTCTACTTTTGACAACACCAGATCTTGAAAAGGGTTCTATTTGTATTACTGACCAGTGTGATAGTGCTAACTGCTCTGAGGCCCAGAGCACCAAGATAACCTGTGAGGTTGAAAGCAGGCGAGAACCCTCTGTTAAATATGCCACTCTGCTCGGCAGCTCCAAATCAATTGAAATCGATGAAGAGCAAGGGCTTATAAATAGCTCAGTCAGCAAATGCTTCTCTAACAAAAATCCTCTGTCAAAGGATTTTTTCTCTAATAGCTCATGGGAGATAGAAACACAGGCATTTTTTATGTTATCAGACCAGCATCCCAATATAATTTCACCACACCTTACATCTTCAGAAGGCCTGGATAAACTTTTGAAACTTGAGGAAGATTTCCTTGAAGAAAATAATGATGAAAAATCTGTCTATTATTTAGGGGTCACGTCAATCAAAAAAAGAGAGAGTGATGTGTTTTTGACTGATGAGTCCAGTGTGCTGTGCCCATTCCCAGCCCACTGTTTATTCACTGGCTACCGAATCCTCCAGGACAGTTGCTCTCACCTGGTAGAAAATACCTTCAACTTAGGAACTTCTGGTCAGAAGACTTTTGTAGCTTACCTGCCTCAGTTTCAGACTTGCTCCACTCAGACTCAGAAGATAATGGAAAACAAGATGTGTGATCTAACTGTCTAATTTCAATCAAGAAACATCTCAGATTATGCTATAATGAGTCATATAAAGTGTAATATATTCCACTGTAGTTGTGGATAGGGGAGAGAAAAGAAGACTGAGTCAAATTTGAAAATGATTGTTCTAAAATTAAAGGCATCTGTCCTCACTCAGTAATACAAGATAGAAAAAATGTGAGCAAGCCTTCATGAGCCTAGCAATGTAGATGGACTCTTCTAATGATTCTTTAACAACTACAGTGGGAACGTCTCCAATGACTTGTTTCTAGCTAGAAATAAGCCCAACAAATGTCATTTGTGAACATGACACCTGTGTAGAAAAAGCTAATCTTCTGAATTACACCTATACCTGAAAGAAGACTTCAAACTGAC